CTTACTGTTAGTTTTTGCTAGGTATATACAAAGCACACTGCAAAGTCTCTTCAGTATCCTACCAGCTGAACAGTTGGGCAAACCTTGAAAGGATCATTATATTGTGAGCTCCTCTGGATCAGTGAAATGTTTTTGTAACCATATTGGAGCTGGTGGCATGGAATAACAAGGGGATCTAGGAAATGGTGGTGTGCTGAAGACTTCTGTGAATTAGTATTTGTGCCATGTTTTCTGCAGTTTTAATGAAGTGAATGAAGCTGGGATGCTCTTAAACACTTAGGGATGATTTTTACTTGTAGGCATTTGCATTTATTCAGTGCCTGATCGTTCTGTGTAACTGCAGGTCCGACCCTTGTCCAGAACTTGCCATCAGCTGTGCAGACCCTGTGTGAGTCCTGGAACAACATCCACACCAACGAGTTCCCCAACATCGGTTCGTGGGTGAGTCCATGCCCAGGGCCTGCTGTGGTGTGAGTGCAGCTGCAGGCACTGCTGGGACTGGGGGCAGTGTGTGTGCCCCTGTCCCAGCTCCAGGCTCTGATCTGTGTGTGTGTGTGTGTGTGTGTGTGTGTGTGTGTGTGTGTGTGTGTGTCCCTCCGCAGCGCAACGCCTTTGCCAACGACACCATCCCTGCCGAGAGCTACATCAGCGCCGTGCAGGCTGCCCACCTGGGCACCCTCTGCAGCCAGAGCCTGCCCCTGGCAGCCTCCCTCAAGCACACCCTGCTGTCCCTGGTCAGGCTCACCGGGGATCTCATCATGTAAGTCAGGCCTTGTGTTACCCTGGCTGTTCCTCCCACTGCTGGGTGCTTTGCTCTGTGTCTGTGCAACACTTACTGACATCAACCTTCCAGTTCACAGCTCCAAATACCAAATGAGTGACAGACAGTCTTTCTGTCTTCTATGGTGTCTCCAAAAGTCCAGCTCTCTGAGGGAAACCATTTTATCAAATATGGACTTGAAGAAAGGGGGATATAAACTGACACGATAGGGATCTAACTAATTCATTTGTGTTTTTTTATCATTCACTTGTGTGAAGTTTTTCATGTTTAAGGAAAAGTAAAATGCCTTTTTTTTTCCAGGGACTTAATCTAAAGTGTTCTGAAACCAAAAAGTAATTGTTGACACTGCAGACAAGCCCCAAAGCCAGGATATATAATAGTGAGACTGTCTAGGCAGATGCTGTAACTATATATATGCGAAAGTAACATGTAGAATTTTCCAAAGAGTGACTTTTTTTCTGAGGGGGAAAATAGCTGGGCCAGTTTTTTTATCCCACCTTTCATCACCAACTTCCATCCAGAGCTGTGCCTCACGTAATGTGAATTCTGGTTTCCAGCAGGGATGATCTGTGCTACACCATGCAGAGAATTAACTTGTGTCCTTTTCTTTTCAAGCTGGTCAGATGATCCCAACCCACCGCAGGTGATCCATTCCCTGCTGCCCCTCCTTCTGGAGAGCAGCACAGAGAGTGTGGCAGAAATCAGCAGCAACTCCCTGGAAAGGATCCTGGGCCCAGCAGACTCTGACGAGTTCCTGGCCCGTGTTTATGAGAAGTTGATCACAGGGTGCTATAACATACTGGCCCATCACTCTGACCCAAACAGGTAACAAAGCTGTGTGCAGAGATTGGCTACAGCAGGGATGCTTCTGGAACAGAAAAAATCAGCTAGTTTTTATCTGTTGAAAGCTTCTGTACTTGTATACTTTAAATATGAGATATTTCTTTCACATTACCAGAACTGTGGAGTGGGGGTGAGAGCAAGAGAGAATGGGGAGGAGTAACAGTAGAAGAGACTTAAAGTGTAAAAGGAGCAGCTCTTTATAGGAATTTGTGTGTGAGGTATCAGAAAGGTCTGGGTTATTTTAGGTTTCTGACTGGGACTTGCTTTACAGCATCATTTGTCCCTTTGTTCTAACTTGGTGGATTTGTTGGTGTTTATGTAAAGTTGTTCATCAATTGTTTTTCTCCTGTCTGTTGGAAGAATTGTTCCACTTTCAATTAGTGGAACAATTACTGCAATTGTAATGGCAAATAGATCACTTCTGGCCTCTCAGAACTGTTGTGATTGTTGAAATTGTTTTTAGATGTTCTTATTTCATCCTCATGTATTTGATTCTTATCTATTCCTCTTTTAATCCTCAGTGGCCTGGATGAGTCCATCTTGGAGGAGTGTTTGCAGCACCTGGAGAAACAGCTGGAGAGCAGCCAGGCCAGAAAAGCCATGGAGGAATTCTTTTCAGAAAGGTGAAGTCACCACAGAAGTTGTATTCCAAGGACTTCATTTCTCATCCTCGCTCTGTTAGCTTGTCAGTGTAGACACCAAGGTGATGTTAATGCCATTGTGCAGGAAAATGCAGACTCTGTAGAGCCAGGATATCCTTCAGGCAGTTCAGGAGAGTGGGAAGAGACTCTGAGGGGGAGAGGACTTGGATCTTTGTCCAAATGGAATACTCAGCGAGGCCTCACAGTATTATCAGTGGGGAATCTTAGAGGATGATTGTTCTGCCAGAGCAGCTTTCTGAGAGATGCTGCTCCAAGCTGCAAAATCCCAAATTCTCTCAGTGCTTCTGTGGGGCCACAGGTTGATAATTTTAAGAGTGGGGAGGGGGGTTAGAACCATAAAGATAAATTGTGCTGGCAGCAGCCTAGAACAACTGTGATAGAAACAGCCTAGCACAACCACAGAGTTCTGAATGTGAGGTGAGTAAGAGGAAAGGCTTTCTCCATCAGAAAGGTGACCATTGTGTGGTTTTTCTCTCTACCTGTTGAACAGTTCACAATGAAAGCAGCCTGGTGGCTGTACATTGTTAGTATGGAAGGGAAAGATAAGCAAGAAGGTCTTTTGAAGCCAGTTCTTTTGTGACTGGATATGTAGAGAACACTGAGATGCTACTGAGGAGCCCATTTCTGAGTTTTGATCTGGGCTGGGTTTGCTCTTTGCCTGAAAGCAGTTTCTGTGGTTTGGCTGCTGAGCAGTGTTAACACAAACTCCTGCCAGTCTGAAACGTGAGGGTGGAGAGAAGTGGAGCCAGTGGGAAAGGGGAATGGGCTGCTCTTTATAAAGCTGATTTAATCCTCCCCTCTGTACAGTGGAGAGCTGGTGCAGATCATGATGGCGACGGCCAACGAGAACCTCTCAGCCAAGTTCTGTAACAGGGTGCTGAAATTCTTCACCAAGCTCTTCCAGCTGAGTAAGTGCCAGTAGGATCCCCTCCCTGCTGCCTTTTCCACTTCACACTGTTCTTGTATTGCCTGGGCTTGGAGGTGCTTGGAAGAAAATCTGTGGGAGGGAGTGGGATCACAGCTTCATGCTTTCAAGGAAAGCCATTTCCACACGTGTTCCTTGGAGCATCTGTCAGTGACAGTCCCTTTCCCCCCAGCTGAGAAGAGCCCCAACCCCAGCCTGCTGCGCCTCTGCGGCTCCCTGGCCCAGCTGGCCTGTGTGGAGCCCGTCAGGCTGCAGGCCTGGCTCACCAGGATGACCATGTCCCCTCCCAAGGACTCGGACCAGCTGGACGTGGTGCAGGAGAACAGGCAGCTGCTGCAGCTCCTCACCACGTACATTGTGCGGGAGAACAGGTAAAGCACAGCTCTGGTCCTGTCCTGTGTGAGCTCTGAGCTCCTCTTGCTCTCCACAACAATCTCATTGTTGAGTTGTTGCTGGTTCTTGGTGGGACCTGTGTGAAACTCTCCTGTTTTTGCTCAGCCAAGTGGGGGAAGGCGTGTGCACTGTTCTGCTCAGCACTCTGATTCCAATGGCAACGGAGATGTTGGCCAATGGGGACGGCACGGGCTTTCCTGAGCTGATGGTCGTCATGGCAACTTTGGCCAGTGCAGGACAAGGGGCAGGACACCTCCAGCTCCATGGGGCTGCTGTGGACTGGCTGGGCAGATGGTAAGAGTGAGCTCTGTACTGCTGAGGCTTCATTTGTGGGGGGGTTTTATTTCTTTTCTGGTGTTTTGGGGACAGAAGTTTGCATTTACAGATAATCCCTTCTCTCTTAGTTTATTGTTTGTTGTTTGGGATACAAAGTGTCTGAGGGAGGCAGATCTGTGTCCATCTGTTCCAAACAATCACATTTTGTTTCTTTACTCTGGATGGTTTAGTTACTGCAATTATACATTCCCTGTTGTTAATCTAAAGCAAACTGAATGCTTGAAGCAGTTGGTCAGGACTGAGTTTATACTTCCCAAAGGCTGGCAGCTGGAGTGAGGGGTTTTGGACTCCCCATCCCAGGAAGTGTTCCAGGCCATGTTGGACGGTGCTTGGTCCAACCTGGGGTAGTGGAAGCTGTCCTGGCCCA